ATTAATTGATCATCAGCAAGTGAGATCACCACTATAAAAGCAGAGGTTTTGGCAGTTTGCTGGTCAGGAGCATTCAGGTGTGTGTTAACACAACGGCGAAAAGGAAAATAGAGATAAATCAATTGAATCATAGGGTGTACTTATTTAGTTTGTCACCCATGGTTCATTAAATAATTACACTTGGAATATGTCATTTATTGTTGTTCATCTGAGGCTACATTTGATTTTTGAGGCTGTACTGGTCAACGACCAGTGGGATTTGTCACTATTTGAATCTGTCACATAGGATTTTAATAAAATCTATGAAATTATGGCCACTATTCTCTCTTTAATTGAATCATAGGGTGTACTTAGTTTGTCACCCATGGCTTTTCCATTTTGCCTTTATTTTTGTTCATTAAATAATTATATGTCATTACTGTTGTTCATCTGAGGCAGTAAACTAATCTAATGACTTTTGAAAAACATCATCTCACTGATTTACAGTCTTTGCGTCACATGACCGTCTGGCCATGAAAAACTCAGCTTTTTCACAGCAGAGTGCAGCACGACCACCTCCCAAGCGTTGCTTCCCACGCCATTCAGGCTCACCCTAGCACTTCATAGGCGTACACTTCAGCTCACCAAGCAACAGAGAGACTACATTGTGCATGTGTACAGAGATGCATGTAAATGCATATGCAATTGAGTTTGTCAATATGGATAATATTATTATTACAGGGTGTTACACAGAAAAAGAGAAGCAGCATGCACACAATACACATCACAAAAGCATAACAGAGAAATGAGCAGAGAAGCAGGTGTCACTGACAAAGCATTAACACCAAACTGCACTTTGCTAAGATCTGTCGCTTTCCAGATCCTTCTGCCACACACACTTAAGGAAACAACATTTTCCTCTCCCAGCTGCTATAATTCCTTTATTATTGGCGGCTGTGGTGTCAGACGTGCAGCGCTCAGAATAGACCTTCATAATCCCCCATATTATTCACAGCACACTCCAGGACCCGTTCAATGCACAGCTACACAATGCAACACAGACTGAAAGTTATAATACCTCTCATACCAGAGCCTTTTGAGTCAACACCTCTAGTGCTAAAGGTCACAATTGATTGAACTTTAGGTGATCAACTGGACATTAAATGTGAAGTGACCAGTTTTGGTCGCAAAAACATCACATCATCAGATCCTGGCACATTGCTTCTACAATTGCTCTACAATTGGGAAAGTTTGCAGAATGTACAGTAGGCAAACTAAAACATGCTTTAGTCTTACAGAGTGAACCTGGCTTGACATGAGAAGATCATATTATCCTCCCCTGATTGCAGAGACACTATTTCCATAATTGCTAAAAAAGATGATGACTAATATCACTTTCAAATAGAGAAACACACAACACAGTACACACAGGGAGATTTTGTGTTTTGTCCTCCTCAACGTAAATCTAAGCAACACGCAAAAAAATTAAGTCAATACAAAGGCGAACTATTCATTGAGCGAGTCTGTTCACATCCAAGGCCATTAAAGGGTACACGGTATACTGTCCTTGTCCAGAAAGAAAATAAAGACATCATCAAAGTAGTCCATGTGATATCAGTGGGTTAGTTAGAATTTTTTGAAGCAGCGAAAATACATTTTGGTCCAAAAATAACAAAAACTATGACTTTATTTAGTACTGTATTCACTTCCGGTTCTGTTGTCAATCCGCGTTGACGAGTCCGCAGTGACGCTGATGACGTAAGACGCTACTGATGCATTATTTGGTGCATCCGTGTATTTGGGTTCAAATAAATATGGCTGGGCAAAAAAAATGCAAGTCTTCCTCTGTGTGGACATCCTAAATTTTTGCGAAGATTGATTTTTTTTACAGTTTGCGTCTCCCTCAGACTGTAAACGAAGCTCTGGCGCACTGATAACACGTCAGCAGCGTCACTGAACGCGGATTGACAACAGAACCGGAAGACAATACAATGCTGAATAAAGCCATAGTTTTGGTTATTTTTGGACCAAAATGTATTTTCGATGCTTCAAAACATTGTAACTAACCCCCTGATGTCACATGGACTACTTTGATGATGCCTTTGACAACGACAGAAAGCTCTCGGACTAAATCTAAAATATCTTAAACTGTGTTCTGAAGATGAACGGAGGTCTTACAGGCTTGAATTGACACGATCGGGTGAGTCATTAATGACATGATTTTCATTTTGGGTGAACTAAGCCTTTAAGCAATTGTGAAAGACTATGAGCTCCTAAATACAGACATATGTGAATATTTTAATTGTATGTGTTTCTTTTGAGGGAATTCATACATTGATGTGCATTGGTAAATAGTAAAAGGACTGCATTTCTATAGCGCTTTCATAGACCCAATGGCCACCAAAGAGATTTACATTTTTGCCTCACATTCACCCATTCACTCACTCATTCATACACCGACGGTGGTGTCAGCCATGCAAGGCGCCATCAAGCTCGTCGGGAGCAGCTGGGATTAGGTGTCTTGCTCACGGACACCTCGACACTTGGTCAGATGGAAACGGGGATTGAACCACCAACCTTTCGGTTTGTAGACAATCTACATGAATCACTGCCGCATTAGTTATTGTAGTTTATCAGAATGGTAGTCAAGGGTCCAAAGTTAAAAATTTGTAAGTAGCCTACAATGAACTTGGATGTTTAAGTCATTTTAACTTAAATTACTCTTTTACAGCATGTATGCTCTTGGATTGATCACATTGACAGCTCTTGCTTTTGCCATTCACCATAGAATAGAAGCGCACCAGGATCTTAATTTTATTTCTTCTTACTTATCTGTTACATGTTTAAGCATTCAAGTAGTTCTCATTTTCATTTTTGTGACTCAGATATATAAATCTCATTTGAGCTGTTTATTTGATATGTGATAATAATACTTCATAATGATGGGGTAATTTAAATTTCATACCACTAAGAATCAAAAATATATTTAGATAAAAAGGCTTGATTAAAAAGTCTTTCTTTCTTGTTCTTAAAGGCAATTTTGAGATTTAGGTAGCTTTTAAACGCATTAATCCATGTTGTCAATTGAATGCTTACAAGTGACATTTTGCAGCTCTGCCAAGCAGTTCTACTGGAGGAGATGTTAATAACACCATTTGGTCATGTACCTATTCAGGAGATAGAAAATCGATTTCAAGCCTTTCTTCAATTGCTCTCTGCGTGCACAAGGCTTAGTTAAGTTTCAGCTGCATAAATGTCTTTATGGCTAAGCTATTGCACACTTTCAACCCATCCTGCATCTCAGTGCATCTGTTGTCTAAAGTCCTCTGCAGTCAGTGACTATTGGCCCTTTAATGCATTCATATGATTTCTTTTTTTTTTTTTTACACTTTGCACCTTCAATACAGTTTTTAAATATAGGGGTTATGTTTGTGGGGTTTTGTTTTGTTGAAAAATAGATAAAGATAAGATTCAGATGGAAAACAACATGCAAAAAAACAACAACATTTGGTTATTTCTTGTCAGCCATATGGGAAAAAAATTCAGTTTCGCAGGCAAATAAACAATTATGCAATTAAATATTGGTTCTTCACAAGAATCCGTTTACAGTAGCTGCTTACTAAGAACATTCAAATTAAAAAGGACAGATAAATAATATTTGATGATGAAATGAATACAGAAACAGACAACAGATTTTTTTCATTCAAATTAAAAAGAGAAATGGTGTAGCCCCTACTTCCTGATTGATTATGGGGAAAAAATATTTACCTTTTCTTTCTAAATAATGTATAGTATGATTTCATTTCATTTCATAGTTTAGCAATGGATAACGTCATACTGCAAATTGTAAAACATACATTTTCAATATAATTGAAGGCCAAGGAGAGATGATACGTCTCATTGCTATAACTGTCACGCACTATTAAAGAAATACTTCAGTCACATTGTCAAAAGTTAAAAGGACAGTCAGTCAAGTACACTGTAACAACTTAACGTAACTATTAGGGATGGGTAACGATTAATCGCATCCGAAATAAAAGTTTGCGTTTACGTAATATATGTGTGTGTGGTGTGTATAATTATTTTGTATATATAAATACACACAAATGCATATATATATATATATATAATTAAGAAATATTTGCATGTATATACTTTATATATATTTATACATAATTCATATTATGTATAAATATAAATATTTGATATATTAAGAACACATTTTTCTTAAATATATACATGCATGTGTTGGTATTTATATATACAAAATAATTATACACACCACACACACAACACTTTTATTTTGGATGCGATTAATCGCAATTAATCATTGCCCATCCCTACTATTACTAACTAATTCACTCTTGGCTTATTTAACAGCAGCAAAACTGGACATGATAGTCACAAATTTTGTCAAGCTTATTTGAGTGAAGAGAACTGATGGGGATGTTCTTTTAATTGTTATTCAAACAATGTATGTCTCGTGACCAACTCAACGAGTGTTGCCAACAGGGACGGTGTAGAGTGCTCTCTGGTGGACAAACTATAAAACCCTCATGACATGGTTCAAGCGTGTTTCGTCCATTTTTATTTTTGAAATATTCATTTATCGGCCATTATAACTGCCGATACCGATAGTTTGGAAAATGCCTAATATCGGCCTGCCGATATATCGGTCTGGCTCTAGTCTTTTCTTCATTTAGAAGAAATAGGCTACACTGTGACCTGACCCAATCACAATTCTTTATATGTATATTTTATATTCTCTCTATTTATAAGTTCTCATTAACTGTTTATTTTATATCTGCATCTCTTCCAGAAAAAAATTATATACAAAACATGAAAACTACTTTAAAAACAACTTTTTTTTAGTCATTCTCTTAATCATTTGGTGGGCACTCAGGGCACTCGCCCAATCCCATCAATAGATAATCCGGGCCTGCATATTAGACAGGTACAACTATATAACACAAAATGTACAGGTTAACAAAAACACTAGTGTGAAAAGGTGCTGATCTTACCTCTTGAGTGAAAGTCTGCAGCTAGTGAGCTAACAGGAGGCTTCTTCACGGCAGCAGAACGGTACACAATGTGAGAACGGCCACCATTCTCTTCCTCCTGCTCCATAACATGATGTCCCGTTTCCACCGGCTCAATGAAAAACTCCTCCTGCTCAGTTCTGATCATCCCTGCCTGTGAGAAGAAAAAAACACTGATAAATACAGTGTGCCAAAATTATACTATCATTACAATTCCATAATATCTGACAGACTCTAGACACTTTGCGATAAATCGAGTGATAGAGAATAAAGAACTCATGGCTGATGTTTGTTGGGTTGAAATCCTTGCTGATGAGAGGAAGACATTTCCAGTCGTTCTTTGTAGCCTTGAGAAAGTACTTAACTTGTCTAAGCTAATTCCTTCCTTTATCCAAATAAAGGGCAATAAGACAGGCATTAACCCTATAAGTGCACAGTTTCATCCAAAAAAGCTAGTATTGAGTAGAGCTCAACCAAATAATACATTCATTTGATTGACAAGGTTTGGTAACAAACTTTTGATTAAAGGGCAGCATGCATTTGATTAAAAAAATATAGTAAAAAAGTATGAAGCGGTTTTCTATTTTAATACATTTTGAAAGTTAATATATTCCTGTGATGACAAAGCTGAATTTTCAACAAATTACTCCAGTCCTCAATGTCACATCATCCTTCAGAAAGCAAACTAGTATGCTGATTTTGTGCTCGAAAAAACCATTTCTTATTTTTATATTGATAATCTATTATAAACAGTTGTTCTGCTTAATATTTTGTGGAAACCATTAAACTTTTTTTTCAAGTTTCTTTGAAATAGGACATGTAAAATTTTTAAAATAGAAATCTTTTGTGATATATTTTGTCTGTTACTTTAAAAAGTGTCCCCGCTGAGTAAAAAGTATAATTTATAAAAATAATAATAATAATAATAATGAACCCAAACTTTTGAATGATGGTGTATATTGTATAAAACATTGAGACAAGTGACATTGCAATGAATTAAATAAAACAAAACAAAAACAGGTAATGACCAAAAGGGAACAAGTTCCACTTAGTGAACCAATGAAATGATTAGACTACTCTGTTCTTCTCTGTGTGTGTTATATCTTGATCCTTTGCAGTTTTACACCACCATTTCCATTTTAGCACCTTCTTATTCCTAATAGCCTACTGCCCCACTGCACAATCCAGAACCCTCCTCCAGGCATGCTTTAACACATATCGCTGAAAACCTCTTTTCTGCTTTCAGACTTTAAAAGGTTTAGTGTACCCCTAGGCCCCGTTTCACCTGCTCTGAGACACATTACTCCCACCGATATCCAGCTTAAGTCAGTCAAATCTCAATTTTACTTCCACACCAGATTTAGGATCATTTCTTCTAACACCAGCTGCATCTTAAACACAAGGACATAACAGGAGTGGCTCTGAATCAGCTGTGGCAGATATGAGGTAGAAACGGGATTTCAGGAGCACCCCAGAGAGTGATAAGCTACAATGATTCCCAGAGGAGACAGGTCGTCGTGTTTCTTCTTATGGCTGGAGTACTGTTGCAGATGTGCACGGTGTGAACCACGCTGTGGATTCGGCTGACGCTTGCAGCCACTTGCCATTAAAAAATGTTAGCCAATTAAAGCCCAGATTTTCCCCACAAAATTCTTAGACCGATTTTCTGATTTTTAGAAGAATATCAGTAACCAGACAGTTTCTGGTCTCATCGACTTCCATAGTATATTTTTTTCCTACTATGGAAGTTAATGGGACCAGAAACTGTCTGGTTACTACTGATATTCTTCTAAATATCAGAAAATTGGCTGAATGGATTCGAAAATGGTAAAACCCAACTGTTTAACTCTGGGGGAGTTGTAAAATGAGCCTATTTCCAAAAAAAGTGGAGTATCCCTTTAAATAAAGACTACGACTTTAGTGACCACTGGGCACATATCTCATAGAAACCTTAGCAAAGGTTTAGATAGTTTAGATAGATTTTTTTTCCCCAATAGTCACTTAAGGTTGTCTAAAGCTTCTAAAGTTGTTAAATGTTCAGTACTAAATGAAAATAAATAGCCAGCAATGACTGATTAAATTGATAGCCGATCATGAAAAATAACTGACAATGAATTTCATTATCAATCTGTGCCCGAAAAATAGGCGCCAATTTAAAGTATTGAAAATGGACAAAATGCATATGAATAATGGAGGAGGTTACAAAGTGAGATGCTGCAGGAAAAGTACACAAACCAGCATGAGCTCTCTCAACATAAGAATGTTTCATATAAAGTGCTTCAAACAAACAAACTCTTATAGTTCATCACTTGGCCTGTCAGGTGCATATGACGTTTAATGCATTTGTTTTCTCCAGTGCATAATTTTCATTTTACAGCCACATCCTTATCTGTTAATGTTATAAATTCATGCAACTATGGCATTGATTCACTGAACGTGAACCAATGCAATCTAGCACAAGGTGACACTGTTTTCCAGCTTTCGGAATAACTTGTGCGGAATAACTGATACCAAATAAAGTCAACTTCATAAATAGGCCTGTATCCGTTGCAAACATATTTTATTATTAGTCTTAAAATGTCCATAACATAAAATCATTGTTGAGCAACATTGTCAACCTACCATAGTTTCACCTACCATAGTTTCACTAGTCAACCTACCATAGTTTCACTTGTAGGGCTGTGCTCAAAATATCGATACTTCGCCATGAACTCCCGGCAATGCGCAAATCAATAAAGCAACTGCCGTATCGATACCATTGTGCTTTTAAATGAAGCCAATTCAGGGCTCGAATTTTGGCCCGGGTATTGCACATAATTTTTTAGCATTCCCACAGCTCTCCCACTTATAATGGGGGATATTCCCACAAACATTGATTCACTTCAACATGTATTTTGTATTAGAAAATAAATCCACACAAATTATAAAATCAAATCAGTGGTTTGAAAGCGTTCTGCAAGTTGTTTCTGCATAAATATCTGAAAATGTAATCATTTAAAATGATTTCAAGATAGACAGCCCATTCTCACCCCCAAGGCGTCACTTAACTGACGCCTTGGGAAGCATTTGGACATGCTTCAATATCTGACGCTTTAGGCGCCCTTTAGCGTCAGGAGGATGACGCCCTAGGATCGCGTGTACCCTACCCCCACCCCACACCTAAACCTAACCGCGTCCTCTAACTGACGCTTTCCTTTAGCGTCAGTTAGATGACGCCGTAGGATCGCCTAAAACGTCAAATATTGAAGCATGGTCAAAGGTGACGCCTTGGGGTGAGAATGCGTTGAGATAGAAGAAATTACTTTGTTTGGTGCACATTTTAACACGTAAAGGAGTAGTTCACTTTTTTTTTTTTTTTTTACTTTTGCTGATAATTTACTCACCCCCATGTCATCCAAGATATCAATTTTATTCTTTCTTCAGTCGAAAAAAATTAAGGTTTTTGGTGAAAACATTTCAGGATTTTTTTCCATATAATGCACTTCACTGCGAACCAAACGGTTCAAGGTCCAAAAGACAGTTTCAGTGCAAACTGCAAACTGTTCAAAGGTCTTTAAACGATAACAGACGATGAATAAGGGTCTTATCAAGCGAAACGATTGCTCATTTAAAAAATAAATAACGAAGTTTAAGTTTTATAAGCTCAGATGGTTGCCTTGCTCTGTTCTGTGATGCGCGTTCATGACTCACCTGTTCGAACTCGTTTATCAAAATGAACACATTCGTGTCATTTTTTTCATGTTTTTTCGTGTCATTTGGTTCATTCACCAAATGAAATGAACAAATTGACTCGGAAAAAGACACCCTTTTTTTTTCTTTTTGTTTCAAATCGCACCCTGGTCATAACCTGGAACTAACAGTTTTATATCAAATAAAATATATTTCATATAATGTACATTTAAATTTCAATATTTAATATTATACATTACATTGTATATAAAAATCATATTTTATTTTTAGAGTTTGCTACTGTAGATCTCAGACATTTCAGATTATGTGACAGTTTGATTGTAATTAATTCTGATAATCATTGATTCAGGTCTCATTAATGGCTGGAATTAGCCTGTTGCTCACTGCAATCAGATGTTGAGATGGTGAGACAATTCTCCCTTCTGTCACACAACACAGGTCGCAATCCCTTGGTAGCTAATTGGCCAGTGTGCGTAAAACACCCAAGCATCAGTGGCTTAAGATAAGTGCATGTCAGCTGTAGCTTTTACACGGGCCACTGCAAATGACGGTTTCTTGACATGATTCACACCGAAAGGAGACCGAGGAGGGAGCCGACACCCCCCAAGCTGAGCACAGTTGGAGTTTACTGTGCAAAAACATACTAAAAGATCCATATGTCAGCCTGAGTTATGTAAGTCATCTCAGAAGGGCATCTACCCTGGATGACCTTCTCTTCGGTGAGAGGGGGAAGAGGAGAAGGAAAGAGACAGAGAGTGGAAAAGGACGGAGGGAGAGGGAGAGGAAGGAAAGGTAGAAAGTAGAAGCAGGAAGGCCAGAGGCCAAGATGTATCTTGTCAGAAGGGTGAATGAATAGCACCTGATACTAGTGACAGGAGAGAGAAAGATAAAAATGTCAAGCGGAGGTGCTAACACGCAGTGTCAGGCAATCTTTCTTTCTCTCGCTAGCTCCATGCGCTCCTTACTCCAAAACAAGCATTGGTAAAATTGCCAGTCACTCTCCTTAATTCCATCTGTCTGTTTAGACAACTGGTAATTACCAGTCCTGCTGACTGCATCTATGCAGCATCCATAAGGGAAATCTCACTTCACACACACATGAGCATAAATTCATGCCCCAGACATGCTCTGCATGCACGCTGTCATTGTTTGTCCTCTCATCTTGACATCTTAGACAGGAATGGCTGAATGATCTGGTGGTGAGCATGCACTGAGAATAACATGGTCATATTAGAGTTTCTGTTGCATTACTTTACCTGTGATAAGTGCACTGTAAAAAATATTGTTGGTTTAACTTAAAAAATTAAGTAACCTGGTTGCCTTAAAATTTGAAGTTGATTGAACTGGGAAAAAGTGAGTTAATACAATGAAGGAGATTGATTTAATCATCAGAAACTCAAAATAATAAGTTATATGAACTAAATAAATTATTTAAGTAGATTTGACAAAAGAAAAAATGTTGTG